AGTTCTGAAGTAGTGTCACCCAAAGCTCTGTATTTAGCCTCAGTACTAGAGCGAGATGGAATAGCTTGTTTCTTACTATGCCATGAAATAAGAGATTTACCAAGAAAGAGACAATAGCCAGTAGTGGATTTTCAATCTGTAAGATCACCAGCCCAATCAGCATTTGAATATGCACGAAGGACAAGGGAGGAATGAGCTGAGAAGTGAAGTCCATGAAATATTATTCCCTTAACATAGCGAATAATACGAAGTACAGCAGCATAATGAGTGGAGCGAGGGCAGCCATAAACTGACTAACAACATGAATTGCATATGCTATATCTAGGTGTGTCGTAGTAAGATAAACCAAACTACCAACCAACTACCGATAACGAGTAGGGTCAGGGAGTGGAGAACCATTTAATGGTGTGAGCTTGACATTCGGTTCAAGAGGTGTGGAGACATTCTTATTATCAGTGAGACCGGCTTTATATATGAGATCTTATGCATATTTCATTTGAGAGAGAAGATAACCATCATGTAAGGATGTAACTTCAAGTCCCAGAAAATAACTCAAAGAGCCAAGGTCTTTCATCTCAAATCTGTGGCTGAGAAACTGCTTAAGCTCATCAATCTTTGAAGCATCATCTCTAGTGATAATCATATCATCAACATATATGAGTAAGAGAACCATTCCCTGAGTAGATTTACTGACAAATAAAGCTGTATCATGTGGACTAGAGGTGAAACCAAACTCACTTACAGTACAACTGAATTTTGCAAACCAAGCTTGAGGAGGCTGCTTTAAACCATATAAGGCTCGTCGCAATCGACATACCTTATTCGAAGGAGGAGTAAGTCTAGGAGGCGGTTTCATATAAACCTCATCTTCCAAATCACCATTAAGAAAGGCATTCTTCACATCCATCTGAAACAGCTTCCATTTATGTACAGCAGTAATAGCTAGTAAACTGCGTACTATGGTAAGACGAGCAATAGGAGCAAAGGTCTCCTCAAAATCAATGCCATATTCCTACGTAAAACCCTTTGCCACCAGACGTGCCTTATAGCGCTCCACAGATCTATCAAAACGAGTTTTGATCTTGTATACCCACTTGCATCCAACAAAAGTCTTATCAGTAAGAAGATCAACCAAGTCCCAAGTACCTGTCTTTTCCAAAGCCTGTAATTCCTTTTTCATAGCTTGTTGCCATAGAGGATCTAAAGAAGCTTCCTTGTATGACTGAGCTTTATGTAAAGAGGTGAGTGCGGAAAAACAATGATAATCTTGAAGATATGTAGGTGGATTTTTTACCCACGTAAGATGACTAGAAGAGGAAGTAACTGGTGGATTTTCAATCTCATTTGTTCCAGGTGCAATATCCGTAGAAGAGACATCTTCTAAAATAGGAGCCATGGAAGTTTGATCATTTGAAAGCTCATTAGGAGACCCTACATCATCATTAGGAAATAACTCAAGGGATGGATTAGTGAAGATAGGAGGTTGATGAGAAGAAGACACCTACGAGAGACATGGAGTTTTTGTGATATTGGATCCCAACAACAATAACCTTTATGTTGTATCCTATACCCTAGAAAACAACAAAGTCGAGCTCAAGGCTCTAACTTGTGATGTTCATGAAAAGGTAAAAGAACAAAATAAGCACAACCAAAAATTTTAAGAAGATCATAGGCAGGAAGAATACCGTAAAGACACTCATAAGGAGATTTATTTTGTGTGACGATAGAGGGGACTCAATTTATGACATAGACAGTTGTAAGTGCAACTTCACCCCAAAAACGCTCAGGACACGAAGAGGAAATTAAGAGAGCACGAATTAAGTCCAAAATATGACGATGTTTTCGCTCAACCCGCCCATTTTGCTGAGAGGTATAGGGACAAGATCTTTGTTGTATTGTGCCCTGCTCTTTAAGAAAAGACTGAAATTTAGAATCGAGATATTCAAGAGCATTATTAGTTCTCAAGACCTTGATAGTTTTAGAGAATTGAGTCTTGATCATATTAGCAAACCCAAGATAAATTTGAGGTAATTCTGAGCATTTTTTCATCAAATATAGCCAAGTGAAATGAGAATGATCATCAATAAATAACACAAAATATTTTGAACCACCCATGGTAGGAGTGGGAGATGGCCCCTATATGTCAGAATGTACTAAATCAAAAGGTGCAAGTGAAATGGAATCACTTTTATTAAAAGATAAAGCAGGCTGTTTAACAACTTGACACGAGACACAATGTAAAGACTCTTCTTTAATAGAACCTAAAGACCCATTTTGAATTAAAGGATGAAGTTTACTAATAGAGGCATGAGCTAGACGAAGATGCCACAAGTGCGCAGAGGAAGATGTTGAGACTGCACACAACTGGGAAACATAACTAGAAGGGATGTGCAAGGAGGTGAGCTCAAACAAATGTCAAAGTTTACGGCCTGTCCCAAGAATTTGTCCCATCTGTGGATCCTGCACACGACAACCATGAGTAGAGAATATTAGTTCAAGACCAAGTTCACACAGTTTTCCCATAGAAATAAGATTCAAAGTAAGTTTTGGTATCAAGAAAGTGTTTGATAAGGTAAGGGTAGAAGTAGAAACTTGACCATATTGGCTAACTTTCATTTGTGAACCATCAACAGTATGGATAGAAGGTGTGGTGGTATTAGGAGTTAAAGTAGAAAAAAGTGTAGACTTTAAAGTCATGTGATTGCAACAACCCAAGTCAAAAATCCACGAAACTTTACCTGGGATGGTAGGCAAGGCAGTAGATGTAGAGGAAGATGATATCATCTGTCTAAGAAGGGCTTCTAGATTACCAATCGAAGGACGGACTGAGGTATCCTCATTGGCAGCAGCTGCAACAACCACAAGCTTGGAAGATTGATCAGGCTTTGATTGGGTCTTCCACTGATCAGATCTTTGAATAGTACAATTAGGCGTAATATGGCCTTTCTGCTTGCATTTATGACATTTTACCAAACTGCAGTCATATATAGCATGTCTGTACTTGTTACAGTGCCGGCAATACTTCTGTCCTCTCTTACTTGAAGGAAACTTGTTGATAGTTGCAGCCAGAGTAGTATCTCGTTAAGGCTTAAGTAAGCCCAGATGAGTTTCATCAGATAATAATTGTAAGAGAGCACTATCCAAGGTAGGTAAAGGAGACTGATGCAATAAAGAGGCTTTGCATGGTTCAAAATCATCAATAAGTGCCATAAGAAATTGAATTAACCTCATTTTATCACGATACTCAATGTAGTTCCCAATATCAACAGTGTCATTGAAGGTTGGTTCTGAGAGAGCAAGCTGATCCCAAATAGCCTCTATCTTAGCATAAAAACTAGTAATGGACTCTCCACGTTTTTGTTTCAAATTGTGTAACTCTTCCCACAATTGATATTGACTCGATAAATCAGAAGTGGTATACCTGGTTGCAAGCAAATCCCACACTTCGTTAGCTGTTTCATACCGTCCAAACTGAAGATGAATGGAAGGAATTGAGGTGTTATGAAACTAAGTGATGATTTGATGATTTTTGCTATCCCAATCCTCCAGACAGTCAACATACTTCTTATCTGTCTCATCAGTAACTTTCTGTGGAAGTGTAATGTCACCAATAGTATACCGCCATAATTTCCGACCCTTCAAGAAACTGCTCATACTTTGAGCCCAAAGTATGTAATTTGAGCCATTTAAAATGGTTGAAATTGGCTGGGAAATATCAGATTTCTCCATGATAATAATAAAAAAAATGCTATAAATAAAAGAAAATCTGACCAAGCAAAACACCAAGTCAAAGTGGAACTTCGAAAAAAAATGGAAGCAATTTCGGATGGCAAACATCTGCACAGTAATAATTTCGGCTGATATATGGCTGATTTGCAACTCCAGAAAATCTCTATGAAAGATCAGAGAAAACTAGTAGAAGAAACAGTAGTAAAATCGAGAACCGATATATGGCTGGAACATGCGATGCTTGCTGGCACAAAAAATATGAAGAAGAATTAGAGGCACAAAACCTCAAGAAGAACGAAAGACGATAAAGAGCTTAGAAAGCTCTGATACCATGTGAGGAAATAAGCAGGAGAGAAAAATATGAAGAAAATACTTTTTTTGATTCATTTGAATATACAAAGTGCCTATTTATAGGCCTGTACAAGAGAATATTCTGTGGTACAAAATCAATTAATCTAATTATGTCAATCAATTATAATTTGAATATAATCATAGCAATGTGGACATAATCAAGGGAGAATATTCTGTAACAAACCGATTTAAATTCCAAATTTCACTGACTCTACAAGGCTTTATTGGGTTTTCTTACATTTTAATTGAGTTTATGTA